TAACCACACTGCACTAGTTCATAGAAGAATCCTGAACTAGTTCACAGAAGAATCCTGAACACCATCTACCCCAAGACAGGACAAGACGACAAAAGGTATGAAAAGAAATCGGAAAAGAAAACAAAGCCAGTGGTATTAGTGTGAAATTGCAAACAAACAAACAAACAAAAATCAAAGACATGAGGCAGTTGCAACTATCTAAAAAGGCCTTTCTAAACTGCTAGAAATTATTTTTATATTCAGATTTGTGCACATAAAAAAACAATCTTGTCACCTTAAAAAAAAAAAGAAAGAAACAAACTTAATATTAAAAAGCTGTATGGTTAAAAAAAAACAGGCCTTATCGTAGAGAAAATTGCATTAAGAAATAGAGAAACTAGGTTTCTCAGAATATTTAGTATCTGAAGCCTGAAAACTTTTAGACCTTCAAATGGAAGCATCTCACGTTTAATATAAAACTACATATTACACCAGTTTCAACATCTGCCTGAACTTGCCTGAAGCACTCAGAGTCATAACAGCACTTCTGTATTCCAACTTATTTTACCAGGACTGATTTTTTTCATGACATATTTAATACAATAAACTACTTCCCAAACATACTATGTGTATTCTTAAGCTTTCTAAGTAATAATTCTGTGGTCACAAAATTGAGCCTTCCATAGTTTTCCCCACACTGCAAATACAAGTACAGTGTATGTATTTCGCTGGGGAAACCTCATAACTAAGTGTACACATATATTTTTACAAACTCAAAATTCTACACTTTGTAAGTGGAAAAATAACAATTAAAAAAGTAGATCTAAATTTTAAAAGTCCAAACTAATGTTGCAGAATAGAGGACTCAAACCGGAAAAAAAGGAACGTAAGAATATTCTAAAAAGGGAACCCAGGGGACCAGAAAGAGACTGAACCATTGCACTTAATTTACATTTGAAATAAACAGTTCACAACAACACCAGCAGAAAATGGAACACTTTATAAACAGACATAATAACAGGTCACAAGGGAAAAGCAGGTCCCTAAAAGCTCAAATATCTTCCACGGATGTGCGAGATCTCAGCAAATTATAAAATGAACCTAAAGGATCAAGAAGGGCAAACTAAGTGTACAAAGTAACAGATCATATCAGACCAGCACAGAACATTGTCCAGCCCTTACAACTCTTTCATACAAATGCTGATCAAGTACAGAATACAAACCTTCTTCTATATTTTGCCATCACCTACAGTCACTTTTCAGAAAGATGCCTCTTTTAGCCAGAGCTGAGTATGACTCAGGCTTTGTTAAGTCAAGGCTCTTGCTGACTTTGAGCAAACTCGTGGCTGTGCCATGTCTCTTACACTTGGGTCATCGGTTCACAATCTCCACGTTTACTTCACTGCATCTGAATTTTAAAGTTCACACAAGTCTGAGAGTCTGGGTGTTTTCAACAACTGTTTGAAACAACAGATCCTTGACATGGAAGACTCACATAAAAGAGCTATGCTGAAACTAGAGTAGGGAGTTAACCAGCTTCTAGTAGTAAAGATCCTCCTCATGAAGCAACAAAATACAGGGCAGATGATTTTATTGCCAACAGGCACCCTCTTGAAAAAAACAGGTACCATACAGACACTCCAAATGAGGTCAAGAGCGAATGGGCCGGAGTTAAATTAAGCTTTAAACCACTGAGTCACCTCAAAAGCAGATGAAGGATTTATTTTTTAAAAAATCTTTCCCTAGCCTTGCTCAATCTATAAACATGTGTCAGAAATATTTGTCTTTTGAAGGTGGAATTAGCAGAAGTTGGCACCTGCAGAAAGACAGGCACCACCAGCAGAAGGAAAACAAGCCTCGAATTTTTTTATGTTACACAACTTTATGGAAAACTTTGTAGCTTGCCAGTTCAGAGAATAGATGAAACAGAAATGAAGCATTACACTGAAGCTAAGTTTAGTGTGCCCTTAGGACTCCATCAGAAAGCACAGTCTAAAAATCCTGTACGTGTTCAAAGAAAATTTCTAAGGGAAAAGTGAAAAGGATTTTCTTTTCAACTACATCAGCTTACTTTGATTTCTCTTCTCTCATGAATGTATCATTTTAGCTTCCAGTAAAGACTGTGGCAGGCAACTAGCTCTCCAAAGACACTACTACCAGATTACATAAATTTGTTTTGCTCCTTACAGACAGATACGGGTTTCCTCCCTTGTAATATTAAACAACAAACACAGAACCATGGAACAGCTTGGGCTGGAAGGGACTTTGAAGATCAACTAGTTCCAATGCCCTGCCATGGGCAGGGACACCTTCCACTATACCAGGTTGCTCAAAGCCCAACCTGGCCTTGAACGCTTCCAGGGATGGGGCATCCACAACTTCTCTGGGCAACCCGTTTCAGTGCCTCACCACCCTCACACTAAAGTATTTCTTCCTAATAACTATTCCAAACCTACTCTGTTCCAATTTAAAGCTAATACCCCTTGTAACACAAAATCCTTCTATTAACTGCTCCACTGCCCCCAGCCCACCTGCAGCTGGAATCAAGGCTTTGTGCATGTCAGAGTGGAGCCTGTTCCCTCCTCCAGCTGAGGGGCTGATGATTATGCCCACTACCCACACAACAGCTGTCTATTTGCATATTTTAAGAAATTATATTAACCACATAACTTCATGAGCAGCAAGAACAGGAATGGGTAGGAGAGGATGTTAACATAATTGTGCATGTAAGGAACACACTCGGTGTGCTCCATCATGCTCAGACCAACCACAAATGCACTGGTAATATGCTCCTGCAGCTATGAGGCTGCACACTCAGCTGGGGGTGGCAGCACTTTATGCACTCCTAGAATTCTGTGGTCTTCCAACATAAATTAAAGACTGGATCACAACTGTACCAATGCATGACTTAAAAGGCAAAATTGTTGTTATTATTATTCCCACTGGTTAAACAATAACAAAGGTGGCTAGTGATCCATGTTAAGATCAAAGTAAAGTTTCAAGAGAAAGAATATTCTGCCTCCACTGTCCAAACAAAACAACACTGCATCTCTAAAATATGAGTTACTGATGTCTTATATGATTTCTTACATGGCTACACCAATAGGAAGAGTTACCAACTGCTCTAAATGGGCTGAAAAAGCTTTAGAAAAGCAGCTGCAATACAGATAAGACATTTCTTTGAGTTTAATAGACCTTCACTACTTGTAACAGTACCCACAGAGGCTGCATACAGTTCCTTCAGACTCAAAATCTTTGCATCCTACCAGATACAAAAGCACCATACGTAGCATAAGATTTATCAGAACAAGACTCTCTGGTGGAAATGAGTAGGAGATAATTAGCACACAAATACAAATGGAAAAACAGACACAAGGGAGAAGACAGGTGATTTGTGCATACACCAGTGTTTTCATACCACAAAGGTGATTAAGATAATGCTTAAAGCCTTCCTTACAAAATAGTATTTTACTTTTTATGCCCCTTCACTAGTCACAGCTTCAAGGACATACGCTACCTGCCCTCCCAAAAGAGAGAAAGTCCAAAACGTCTCCTAAAGTAACAATTCTCTTCATACAGGCTTGTTTTGCACTCTTCGGAAAAAAACATCCCAGAAAGAGAACACTTCACCAGAAGAAAGAAAGTCTTAACATCGCTTCGTAAAATATAGAAAAGGAATTAACACTCTGGGGATCCAAGCAAGTCTCTGTTACCAAATGACCGAGCCGTAGGCCTAAATAAATCAGTTAACAGTGGGATTTTAGAGTCTCCCAATGTAGCTGAAAAATATTTAAAGGTAAATTATGAAATCATATTTTAATTCAAGAAATGTCTTCTTTCTCAGATAACAGTGACCACAGAGAGAACGTGATCCCCCAGCTGAGCTGGGACAGCACGTGCACAGGAGACAACACTGCATGTCTGCTGTGAGCAGCATGTATTTCCTTCCTGGAATTGAAGCAGGAGAGACAGGAACCCCATCAAAACACCTCCACCAGCTTTGAATAGCCTTGAAAACAATTACGAGGCAGTCAGAGAGGAAACCAGAACCGCTCTCTCTGTCTGCATGCAGGATGCAGGGCTGCACCTGCCTGCTCTGTATGGCTCCACTGGGAGAGCACTGGGCATGAGGGGTCAGGGAAAAAACATGAAGGTTACACACAGCCACTGAAAACAGCTCAACGAGGCAGGAGGCTCCCAGTATCACAAGTGGTAACACAAAATCCCATGTGCACCTGACAGGAACAAGGCTGCACCTGAGGGCTGAGGTGTTCACAGAATGGATCAGGTTGGAAGGGATCATAATGAGTCATCTGGTCCAACCTCCCTGCTAAAGCAGGGTCATCCTAGAGCACATGGCACAGGATTGTGTCCAGACAGTTCTTGAATATCTCGAGTAAGGGAGACTCCACATCCTTTCTGGGCAATGCGTTCCACTGCACGGTCACTGCACAGTAAAGAAGTTCTTCCTCATGTTCAAGTGGAACTTCCTGTGCATCTCCTATGCCCGTTGCCTCTCGTCCTATTGCTTGGCAACACCAAGCAGAGCTTGATCTATCCCCTTAGCACCCTCTTTTAGATATTTATACAGATTAATGAGGTCCCCTCTCAGTCTTCTCTTCCCGAGGCTGAACACTGTTCACGAGGTTGTTGCACAGTTATCTGTTCCCAGAGCACTCCGATGTCCTGTATGGATACACAGCATTCTCCCTTTTCACTGAAAGCACGGGGAGAAGAAAACGCTCCAGAGGGTCGGTCAGCGCTGGGATCCTCCAGCCGGCCCGGAGGGAGGAGCACGCACAGCGCTGCCCACCCGGGACGGGCCCCCGAGTCCCTCCGGGCACTGGGGCAGGCAAGGACAGCGGGGGGGAGCGGGACACCCCCCCGGCTGCACGGGGCCAGGGCTGGGGGCGGCGAGCACGGCGGGCGGGGGTCCCGCAGTGACAGGGCGGGGAGGAGCGGGCGGGGAGGAGGAGAGCGGGCGGGAATCGCGCAGCCGGAGAGCCGGCGGAGGGTCCTACCGTGTACTCCCGCACTTGGCTGTGGAAATTCTGCTCCCGGATCGTCACCTCGTCCGCTTCCATCCTTCATAGTCCCGGCGGCCCCCGCGCGCAATGGCGGCCGCCCGCCGCCGCGCCTGCTCCTGCCCCGCCGGCGGCGGGCGCGGCCACCATGGCCAGCGGCAGCCCGGCTGCTCCCCCGGGCCCCGGCGGCGCGGAGGGGCTCTGGCTGCGGCCGGTGCGTCCTGGCGGGCGCGGCGGAGGAGGAGGAGGAGGAGGAAGGAGGAGGAGGAGGAGGAGGAGGGAGGAGGAAGGGCGGGCAAGCGCCGGCCTCAGCTCCTCCTGCTGCGTCACCGCGCAGCGACCCCGCGCGCGCCGCAGCCCCGCCCCGGCCCCGAGAGGGGCGGGGCTAAGGGTGTGGGCGTGACCACTCAGCAAGGGGCGTGGCTTAGCCTGAAGGAAGGGAGGGCGAACGCGACCCGGAGGCGGGGCGGCTTGGGGCGGGGCCAGGGTTAGGGGCGGGGCTTGAGGAGCGGTCTGGGGTGGTTTTGGTTTTAGCGGCAAGGGCGCGTTTCACGGACTCGCGGAGGCAATTGGGTTGGAAAAGACCTCTGAGATCATCGAGTCCAACCGAATGACCGAACACCACCATGTCAACCAGACCATGGCACCGAGTGCCACATCTAGTCTTTCTTTAAACACCTCCGGGGACGGTGACTCCACCACCTCCCCGGGCAGCCCCTTCCAATGTCTGAGCACCTCGGGTCGTGTCGAAACAGGTCACCTGTTTGTGCCTGTGCGAGGCAGGGACAGGCGGAGTCCCTATGCGTCCTGGGGGCAGGGAGAAGGGGACATGGGAGAGGGGAAAGGAGTTACAACTTGAGTTCCATTTCCCCAGAGCAGCTTTTTGCCTTTGGGTGATTTCTGCCGTGTTGTTCTTTGCCCGAGCGCTGTGGTGCAAAGCCGCATCACCCTCTTTTCCCCGTTCCCGCTACACGCGTGGACAATCTTCGCTTCTGAGTTTGCAAGTAGCTCAATTGTCTAAATACACGCAGAAGACTATTGATCTAGGACACACTACAAAATATAGATTGGGTTTAGCAAACCAAACACTTCGTTCAATCCAAATTCATAACATTATTCTAAATAAATTTCAAAAATAAGGATTATCATTATCTGCCTATTTACATCTATTGATACATTATCCATGATGTCGATGCCAATCATAATTCTGATTATATTCACTCCCCAGGCTCTAGCCCATCTTCTTGGTTAAAGCAGATGGTGAGGTATTTAGGAAATTTTGGAGTTAGCAGAAGTATTTCTTGTAGTTCTGAATGGATGCAGAACTTCCTACAGCTTCAGTATGGTTACAGTTCCACCCTTCTTTTTGATACTTGTGAAGATAGAGACGAGGTATTTGCAGGCAGAATCACACCGTGGGTATGAGGCCAGAAATACTCCCACTCTCTCTCATCCTGAAGCCCACTGCTCAAGGAGGGAGACTTTAGGTATTCATTGAAGCTGCAGCAACAGAAGACAATCAAAAGCAGAGCTGAAGGAACAGGGAGCACAGCCTTGGAGCTACTTCTTGGGGAAAGCTGTCCTACTTTACCGCTATTCCCAACACAGCACTAGATTCTGTCTGTTAGACAATATTATTACTCATCTGGGTTTTTTCATTCACCTATTTCCACTTATCTTCAATCTCCTTTTCTTCTTCAGATGCTGAAAGTGGGGAAAGCATCCATAGCTGCCAAGAGGAATTTGACATGAGACCTGGGCTTGTGAGAGCAGCTGATGTTGTTCTCTGCTGAGGAGCTGGTCCAGAGTGAAGAGTGTAACTGCAGGCAAGGTTTATATGTAGAAGCAATATCTTTAACAACAAACACAGCTGGCAAGAGCAGACAGCTGTCTGGTATGCAAGAATCTGATCTCAGGGACACCAAATTCTCTCAGACCTGCCTATAGAAATATTGGTATATAGACAGGTTCCCTGCTTTCATCATCTTGTATAAAAGGCATGCACAATAAATTACAATGGCATTATAACCAGGGTGTAAGGAACCTAGTGTTAGGCCTTCAGTGGATTTATGATGAAGATGGAAGTGCCGTAGCCAGAACAAACAAGATCTAAGAACTGGGGAGACCAGAAGGTCCAATTAAATTGGGAAAATGAGAACAGTCAGATATTCAGCCAGCTATGAATATGTTAAATCATACATACTAATACCAAAACAAAGGAGTAGCATGGTTGAGATTCAGGCCACAGGCAAGCAAGCAAGCTGATCCATGCACAAGGATGACCCACAAGAAGCAGATGGAAGAGTGAAAAAGTCTGAGGAAGAAGAGGCAATAAAAACCATAGTTAGGAGTCAGGGAAAGATTTCAGGGCCAGGACTCTGTAGGCTCTTAGGGAGCTTCTGCCAGCACATACTGATGCCCGCTGCCTGTTGGTTAGGAATCTAGGCCTGAGGTGAGTCTCAGTTCCTGAGCTACCTGAGAAATTATTCACCCACTGCCCAGGAACAGCTCATGGAATCTGAAACCAAGTTTATTTTATTAAAGAGCTCTGAGAGTTGTATCTAGGCACCAAGTATTTAATGCATTTCTAACTTTATCTGCAAAGATATTAAACACAGGAAGACTGTGAAAAAATTAGCCATATTTTGTAGCTGTTATAGAAATTAAAACTAAGGTTTGGAAGAACTGAACCCTCCACTTCCACTTGGGCTGTACATTTTCTTTTTAATCTATTGAATTTGAAATAAACCTGAGGAGGAGACACAGGACATAATTTGTCTCATTCTGTGGACTGGCAAGTTCTTTCTTCCATTTCTAGCAGACGAATCATCAGAAACACCATACACATTTGTATTTGCAGGAAAGGCAGGGAAGGGGAGGAAATAGCTTCGACCCTTTCTTGGGCAGAAGTTATTGCTCAGTTCTGAGGTGTTTGCATCACAAAGGAAGGTCATGGTAGCCACCACAGCAAAATCTATTTATATCAAAGGAAGTTCAGTGCAGAGTGGGCAGCTCTTGCAAACCAGTGAGGAGATGCATCCAACTGACTGATGCACCCATTGATTTCTGATGAGAGGAGTATTTTGAAGCACACCAGAAGAAAAACTCACAAATCAAGTACCTTGCACCAGAGAGTGTTTGAAAGACCTCTGGACATTTTTCATCAATATTTAAGACAAAACAAGACAGTACTGGAGGGACTGTCCTCAGCCATCCCTAGGACCTCAGTTGCCCTAAGGATTTTGTGAGTTTATTACTTTTCAGTCTAGTTTTAAATACATTTTTCAGCTTCAGGATTACCCAGTAAGTGTCTGGTTCCCTGATTCCCCAAGGAGGGTTTTATGTGCAGTGTTACCTCTGAGACCCTCTAAAAAAATAAGTTGGGATATTCAAGCTAATACAATTCAGTTGAATAGTCTAAAATGGAAGTTTCTAAATTTGGAACTGTTTCACTAGGAAGGTTCCCTCAGAATTTGCCAATGGATTTTAAATAACTCTCTTTAACTGTAAATGTGAATTTGGCAGCATGCCTTAAAACCTAAATCCATCTCGCAGCAATTGAATAGGTGATGCCTTCTTTTCAAGCCATCATTGAGCCAAGGGCAGCTTGGACTAAATAGAAAATAGGAAGTTATTCTCTCAGTTAATACGATACTTACATGCTTATATTCAAAATATTGCCTAAGAATTGGCCAGATTGAAGCCCAAAGCCCAGTTTAGTATGTTGTCAAGAATGACCATTGATTTTAAAGAGAACTTAGGGTAAACACACACCACAGATGATACCCAGCACTTTACATACTCAAAAGCCAGTCGTGGAAGACAAAAAGAAAGATGAAAAAGTTAAAATAACTTGATCATGATATAAAAGAAATTTTATGCTATCATAGTTATTTATGATAATTAATAATAAATCATAATTGTTAGTTATTTATTATAAATTAGGATTATTTATTGGGTGATTATTTCAGTGTCTTATATTTGGTAAGCTAAAGCATAGCAAGAGTTGCATCAGAACTTGAGAAATCCAGCTCGATCAGTCTTGGATTCATAACTTCTACTTTCTATTTCTTTACTGTTTTTAGAACAAAATAGTATGATTATTTTTTTTGTTCCAAATACTTCCAGCCTGTACCTTCATTCTGTCAACCCAGTAACAATAACTGCCCAGCTAAATGTATTACGGCATAATATATAAAATAAAATGGGATTCAGTGATGAATAAAACCCCTTCTAGTGCCTAAGTTTGCTTCACTGATAGGAGCCTAAAGAGAGAAAGCCTGCAGAGTTTCTTACAGGCAGAGGCATAAACTCTGCAGGAGTTCAGTGTTGTCAATACAGGAAGTCATGTCATGAAGCTAGAACAGTTTCAGTTCCATATCTAGGCAGCGTGAAGTGCCTGAAAGCTCACTTTGCTTCCATTCACCTTTAAGTGTCTTTCATGCCCTACTGTGAGCATTCAAAGCACTTCTCAGATCAAAATAACAACAACAAAAACAAGGAAAAAACAAAAACAAAACAACAACAAAAACAAGAAAAACAAAAACAAAAACAAAACACACATTAGGAATGAAGTAAAAGGGAATATTCAGGACATCTGCTCCATCTGTGAAGCCATGGCTGATTTGGCTGATTCTTCGAGTAGATATTTATTGGTAAAACTCCTAAACTACTGCCAGGGTCAATATTGTTACAGAGTTGAGGACTCAAAAACCAAACCAACAGAAAAAGCAATACAAACACACACACAAACACAAAAGCCTCCCTTTCACCAGTCTATGTCCGTTTTGAGCCCAGAAATTAGTGTTAGATTCAATCAGTCTCTGAAAGGTGTTCAACTAGAATGGATAGGTGAAAAGAGTGAAAACTCACTACTTCTCTTTATGGTGTGTTCAATATTTAATTCCTGCTAATCACAATTCACCTCAAAATCTCCTTTACAGTCAGTTAAAAAGATCTGCTCTTAGTAAATTTACTCTTTAAAGATTTTTCTCAACTGCGAACTCAATTTTTTTTCTTTCATGCCTGAATAGTCTCCAAACTTTTAACACACTTATTAAAATGCAAGCGAGAGAACTACTTCAGGCTCAGTTTCAGCGATTCTATGAACAGAACAAAA